CTCAATTTTTTTTCAAGTGAGGCAAAAAAATCCTTCTGTACAAGAGTGGACCAGCAGATACGTTGTCGTATTTTTACGTATCCTTTAAGGATCTGGGATTTGTTTGCATTTGTTCGGAATCTTCCTGTATCCATGACTGTGTGCAGTTGACCAAAAATGCTTTTCTTGTGTCATTTATGCAAATTATGCTGTAACATCACCAATTCACACACCTGACATCGGGGGACATTGCGGCACCTGATCAAAGTCGTTTCGAGCGAAGCGCTTGTCGTTTTGCGAATTCCAATTTTTCAGCCAAAAATGCTTTTCTTGTGTCATTTATGCAAATTATGCCGTAACATCACCAATTCCCACACATGACATCGGGGGACATTGCGGCACCTCACGCTCCTCCGCAGCGTCCGCTAGCGCGCTATAATTAAAGCCACATCTGGGCGCGCGGCGGGGTCCCCAGAGCAACACAGTGCGGAAGCATTAGCGTGTATTTGTGTCCTGGGGCCGAGAACGCATTTTGCGCAAAGCATGCTGGGTAGCAGAGTGAACTGTCCTGGGGACGAGAGTTTGTGGCGCGGGTGGAGAATGCCAAAACTCCCTCCGTGGCTAAGTTCCTTCCGCGACTAACTCCCTTCTGGGCAAATGTAGAGGGATAACGGTACACCCTCATAGCGTCACCTAATGAGGTACTTTGTAAAGGTCCGTTTCATTTGGTATATATTACCATTGTGACAGCATTTTATACCCCAAAATAGGAATCTTGCGTCTTGTTTTAGGTCCCGATAGTAGAAAGAATGCAGTGTACATGTATTCAGATGGCCGCCGTGTAACGTTACGTACTAGCGAGCGCGCACGACAATACCGCCAGAGTAGAGTAGGTTATCCTAACCCTTTAGATAGCGCAAAGAAAACAAAAACGACAGATTTGCATTAAAGAAAGTTTATTTTCCATAGCCTGGGCTAAGCCACGATCTATAACCTATGGCTTCTCCACGGGCGCTGGGGACGAGCGTGGTATTAACCGTTGCCTAATTATAATGTCTGCACAGTAGGTCTGGCGTTGACGCTTGGGATTTTGTTGAAATATATAAAACTTCACGGAGAATTGTCGCCTATGGCTTCTTGTTTCAAGTTAATTTTGGAGTTCAGAATATTTTTAGGGTCATTCAAGATGGCCTTATGTGTCAGTGGGGCAGTAGTTAAAGAAGTTGAATATACAATGATGTATTCTGTTTCTCTTGCAGCTGTTTCATCGAGAAGCAGACCAGATTGACTCTGTCACCAGCAGCCATGAAGCATTTCTGGAGTTTGATGAGTTGGGGGTATGTCAGTTACTTGCCTTTATCAGAAAACTTACTATAGACTTACAATATGATTTGTAGAAAAGAAAGAACAATAACACTGAGAGTGCACACCTCTCCTGAGGCAACATGGTTTCTTACATTGGATTTACATCACTTGTATGTTAAAAGAAATCTGCAGTTTAAAAATGAGCTCCAAAGGATTCATTGCACAAATCTAATCAGTTTTATTAAGGGCAAGGTTTGTGTATGTATCACCCATGCAGGTTTTAGAGGTTCTATTTACTATCAAGTCAACAAGAAGACCTCGTGAACTGGCCAAGTGGTTGTCATCTGAGGTAATATTTCATTCTTTATATCTGTCTGTTGTACCCCCAGAGTACCGTGGACAGTGTGCAGGGTCTGCTGAAGAGACATGAGGAGTTTGAGCACACCCTGCAGGTACAGGGTGACAGGATCAACACTCTGAACGACATCGCCAACAAACTTCTACAGGCCAAACACTACGCAGGCAGACAGTAAGTCTTATCAGTCAAACATGCCACTCAGCTGGCAATGGTTTCTTCTTTCTTGAGAATTTAGTCCATGCTGCCATACCCTGTAACCAATGGATGATTGGTATCCAAACACTGAGATAATTGGTATCCAAACAGCTTAAGATAAATTAGTGTTATGCAAAGCTTGTTGCTTTAGAATAGGTAAGTGCCTTTGAAACCTTGATCTATCCCTGGCATAACTTCAACTGAGAGAAATCTTTCCCATAAAACCTGTGCCTGACTCCCAGGATTGATCAGAAGAGAAACCAGGTGGTGGAGAGAAGGAAGAAGGTGAAGGGCAAGGCTAAGGACAGACGCGCAGCTCTCCAGGCATCCCTGACGTACCAGGAGTTCCTCAGAGATGTTGAAGAGGTACTAAGTTTGTCCCATCTCTTTCATTGTTGGATCTGATGACCATGTCATCAAGCCTTTATTATGCACAGGGGATTGATTAAACAGTCAGCAGTGCTTATTATACATGTCCCCTCTCCCACCCCAGCTGTCCCAGTGGATCAGGGAGAAGTACAAGGCAGCTACAGACGAGTCGTACCGAGACCTGACCAACCTGCAGGGGAAACTACAGAAACACGAGGCCTTCGAGGCTGAGCTAAGGGCAAACACAGAACGACTAGACAGAGCCAACCAGGTCAGCGAGAAACAATTATTATTATACAGTAACAGTGCTACTTTTGTGTCAGTATAATTATGAAGACTATGTGGAAAGTCAAAAACTTTTGTGCATACTTTTTTCCAAATCTCAAGACCCTATCATAGTAGTGAAAATTTTTTGCCGTTTTCTTCAGGCCGGGAAGGCCCTGGTTGCAGAGAGACACTATGCCAGGAAGGAGATTCAGGAGACACTGAGGGACCTCAACACACAGTGGGCAGACCTGTATGACAGGTGTGTGGAGAACATGATGTACCTATTGCTAATCAGCTGTATCCGACACCTGGCAAAAAATGTCAAGGGGCTTGGCCCGGTGCGATAGCTCAATTGGTAGAGTGCTCGCTTTGTAACCGGGAGGTCGTGAGTTCAAACCCCGGCCGGGTTATACCAAAGACTTTAAAAATGGTACACACTTCTTTCTCTGCTTAGCACTCAGCACATATGAGAAAGAGTGTGGGAAGGTCAAACACACAGCACTACCAGCGGACCAGCCCCCTGCTGTAGTGCATTGCACAATTGTGTGACGCCCAAGGGCTACGAAATGGAGATGGGCACCACATTACGTTCGGGCAAGAGCACGGGAGACCTTCTTCTTCTTCCTTCTTCTTCTTCTTGGCCCAGTAAAGGCAGCTGAATACCATGTTTGACACCCTACTTTACATACTTGTAGATGTGACTTGAGTGTGACTTTATTCCCTCAGGTCGTCAGACAAGGGTGTGAAGTTGCGTCAGGCGGCGCAGCAGCAGCAGCTGAACACCCTGCTGCGGGAGGCCCAGGACAGGATGGATGAGATGGAGGTGCTGCTGGGGGTGCAGGACCTCGGCAAGGACCTCCGGGGAGCCAGGAACCTGCTCAAGAAACACCAGGTGGGTTAGCTGGACCTGTTACTTTAACATGGAACTGACCTTCAGCTCTATGTCAATCAATATCAAGGGACATGACAGTCCCTGAAAAACAGTATTCACCCTCAAAGCTAAAGGAATTACACACTGCTAGTTGTTACTTTCAACAGCAACATTTCCAAGCAGATCACAGATCAAAACATCATATAGACCAGAATTGGAACCTGACCTTTTAACCCAGCTGCTGGATTGTTATTCACTAGACCAGTTTGGGGCAGGTAAGGAGAGACATAAAGACAGACTTATATCTGTTAAGCATTTACTGAAGCTCCACCTTGTGTGTCCCAGGAACTGGAGCAGGAGATGTCCCAGCAGGCAGAGAAGATCCAGTCCATCGTGAGCCAGGCCCAGGCCCTGGCCAGGGCAGGACACTTTGATGCCAAAAGGATCATGCAGAACACCAAGGACTTCCAGCAGAGGTGGGTCAGCTGGTGTGATGATGTAGGACTCATCATGAAGCTACTTGTTGTCTGTGTCGATGTTTAGATTAGAGCTAGAGCATCCACAGACAATGTCATTTCAACTCAATACCTTGGGAAATCTGCTACAAGTCAAAGTGCGAATGATATGTTCATTCAGAATTTTCACACTTGTCCCTCAGATTCCAGTCCCTGCAGGCACCGATGCTGAGGAGGCGAGGTGAGCTGGAGGACTCAGTCCGTCTGCAGGAGTTCCTGCGGGACCTTGATGAGGAGATGAGGTGGATTAGGGACCACATGCCAGCTGCTACATCAACAGACTATGGCAAAAGCCTGGATGCAGCTCTGAAACTACAGAAGAAACACCAGGTGGGGCATGGATCTTGCCTTTCTCTTCTTAACCTAAGGAGATAGCAAATGGGTTGTATGGAGATTGGTATGATTACAAAAAGTAGGTGTTCCAAAAAGTGGACAAAACAACACCATTCCTTACATGGCCAAATGAATTGGATCCCTCCTAAATTTCTTGTCCTTGTGTTTAGGCATTATGCAAGATATGATGTCAGTAAAATGCCATTTTTGCAGGTTATAATCTGTGCTTCATGTGTCTCTGTTCTTGCTTGATCCCAGAAACTGGAGGCTGAGGTGACGGGACACCAGCCAGTGATAGAGAAGGTACTCGGGGAGGGTCAGGACCTGATCGAGGCGCAGCATTACGCTGTGGAGGAGATTGATGGGAAGTGTGAGGAGCTGAGCAGTGCCTGGGCAGAGCTGGTGGAGAGGTCAGAGGAGAGACGGGCACAACTCAGGCTGTCTGTCGAGGGGCAGCAGGTAACTTACTGTTTCTTCTCTTCTTATATTCAAATTTACCCACCAGCATTAAAGAGGAGCTAATTATGGATTGTAGGATCTTTACTTCCAAGTTGCTGTATATAGAACCATTGAGAGGACACTCTGATTGTGAGGACACTCTGATTGCTCACTATTGGAGTAGATTTGACTGCCCATTATTTTGGACCGAATCTTATTCAAACATCAGAGAAGCAAATATTTTTTGGAGATATTATAATAGGATGTTCTCAACGTTCCAAAAAGAAAATCTATAAACCTGAAAATGGCATAATAGACAGGAGTATAAAGTAATGATAAATATTGTTTTCTGTGGTTGGCAGTTCCTGGCTGATGCCAATGAGGTGGAGAGCTGGGTTGCAGAGAAATCCCGTCTGGCATCCAGTACTGACTACGGCAAGGATGAGGACGCAGCTGAGAAAGCCATCACCAAACATAAGGTCGGGGTCTGAATGCACTTGAATTTGAATCACCATACATGTATATGTGTCACAAATGTTTGTTTTAGAAATTCAGGCTATTAGCTGAAGTTTCTTACCCTCAACATTTGATTTCTCTTTAATATTTCAAACATGTTCCCACTGTCTTAAACATGTTCAATGTTCTCCCTACGTGTTCTATAGGCTCTAGAAGTGGACCTGTCCACCTACAAGGGTTTGGTGAAACAGCTGCAGCACAAGGCCCAGAAATTGAAGGAGGCCGGCCATGTCAACGCAAAGACCATTCAGGACAGACATGTAGGTATCTTATACATTCCTTCATTCACTCAGTGTAATATTTGATAGTTTCACAAAATGAAATACTGTGTCAAACTGTTAATCAGGCTGCTTTGCTGATATGTTCTACTGACCTGCCTGTGTTCCCCAGTCTAATCTGGATGGCCAGATGAAGTCCCTAGAGACGTTGATGGGTGATCGCAGTGTTCATCTGGAGGAGTCCAAGCAGCTCTTTGCGTACGCCCGAGAAACCGACGACCTTCAGGAGTGGATCAATGAACATCTGATGATGGCAGCGTCGGAGGACTATGGACAGGATTACGAACATTTGCAGGTAGGAACATGGATTGAATTTCCACCACATCAATTATTGTTCACATCATATCACAGTAACAGTTCACACAATGTTATGTTCCTGTTTCTCGATCACAGTCATTGATTCTTTGAGTACCATTGGAATTCAGGCTTGTGTAGCATATGGAATGTACTTAATTTTTGTTTTCAGATTCAATTTTGTATCATTTTTTTATTATGAAACTTTTTACTAATTTGTTCATTTCTAGTTCCACCTCCATCCACATTTACTTTAAGATATGATTTTGTTTTCATCACTTGGTCTGCCAGCCTGAGGATGGTATTTTTGCCAGGCTTTGGTCCCTGCTGGATTATGGTACTAAGGTACCCGAGGTCTGTGGTTCTTATTCTGGCAGACTCAGCATGGTTTTCCTATACCTCCATTAGATTTCAAATGTATTAAATGCACCAAAATTTCTGTGGCACAGTGTAGTATGTTGGAGCAAGACACTGGGATGAACATCTAAAAGCACTTATTAGGTGTGTGATTTCGTGTCACCAACTGGTGGATGAACTGAACTGATGCTATGTAACTTTGTTAGACTTGAACTTGAATTTGACACCTGTATCTGTTTCTAACTTACACTGCTGTATAGTCCCCTCTCTGTATCAGGAAGTATGTCATCTGACTTACATCAACATCTACATAGAATAAAGATGCACAAGATTGGCTTTTATATCAAATTAACTTTATTGTGCATGCTTCTGCAGGTTTTGCTGTCAAAGTTTGAGGATCTGAAGCACAAGATGGGCCAGGGTCAGCGCAGGTTTCAGCAGTGTGAGAGGAACGCCACCCGGCTGGTGGAGATGAACAACAGCTACTCACCTGCCATTCAGGAGAGACAGGAGGGACTCAGGTGAGGGGACGGGCAGAACAAGTCCCAGCAGTGTGAGACAAATGTTGCTAGGTTTTCATGATTTGGGTGGTGGAATACCGTAACCTTGGCTGAAGGAAGAAGATGAATGTTGAGAAGGATATGAACACATCTCCTGTTCCCCTGTCTGCAGGGAGTCGTGGACACTGCTACAGGAGCACACCAAGGCCAGGGAGGAGAAGCTGGTAGCTGCTGAGGAGATCCACAGGTTCAACAGAGATGCAGCCGAGGCCATGAGCAGGATACAGGTGGGTCAGGGAGGAGTGATCAAGAGCTGTTGCCAAGTGTAGGTGCTTAGGAACTTGATAAGTATGATGTGAAGTTTTCTCCCCTCAATCTAACAAAGTAAATGTGTTACTGATTTACAGGAGAAGTATGCAGCCATCCCTGATGACCTTGGAAGGGACCTAAACACCGTCCAGAGTCAGCAGAGGAGACACGAGGGGTTTGAGAATGAGCTGGTGGCACTAGAGGCACAGGTAAGGAGAACTGCACTTATTATCTAAAAAATAAATCATTGTGTGTGTGTGTGTGTGTGTGTTTGTCTGGCATTACATAGTACATATATGATCAAGAGTACAACTACATGAGCTCTGTTCAAATACTTTCCAAATAAATTTCCGTTAAAAGCATATCCTATGTTGAAAATTCAGATATTGGCCAACACAAGTCATCATGTAATAACAAATGTCTCATCATCATATCAAAGCCCTGCCTGTAGCTACATAAAAAATTATGTCTCAGCATGTCTCCCCCTGTTCCTGTAGCTCCAGGTGCTGATTGATGACTCGGCCAGGCTGCAGGCCCTGTTCCCCGGTGGGAATGCTGAACAGATAGCAGAGCAGCAGGAGGTTCTGGTGTCCAGCTGGAACGCCCTGCAGGAGAGAACAGTACAGCGTAGGGAGGAGCTGCAACAGGCTCTTGACTTCCAGAAGTTTCTCGCCTCGGTAGGAACATCTGATTCATTAATTTCTAAATTGCCAACTCCCTTATAAAACACCTCAAAATCTTAAAGCACCACTGCTGATTCAATTTGCCTCATGCTTTTTCATGTTTGTACAATGTAGGTGAGAGACCTGCTTGCCTGGAGTGGTGAGACCACCCGAGACATGCTGGCGGAGGAGGCGGCACGAGATGTGGCGACCACAGACGAGCTGCGGAGACAGCACGCTCAGCACAAGGTGGAGATCGACGCTCGAGAGGACAGCTTTGGGGCCATCGTGCAGGCAGGGGAGATGATGATGGACGCTGGTCATTATGCTAAAGATGAGGTACATGTTGGTGTTAAACAACAAGGAACAAAAAGAAAATGGCTGGAGGCACTAAATAGCTTAAAACAATGTTTGCAATTAGATGTGCAGAGGTTAGGTTTGACATGTCTTTCAATTGAAAATAACTAGTGGCTTCAGAGTATACAGATACAGACACCTCTAGATATTTCAGTTTGGGAGTAGATCTAGAGGGAAATAAGATTTCACTTACTGACTGTCCTCCCTGTCTTAGATCCAGGAGAAGGTGCAGCAGGTGGTTGAAGAGAAAGGGAAGCTGCTGCAGACGTGGGAGGACCACAGGAAACACCTGGATGACGCGTACAACCAGCAGGTGTTCAACAGGGACGCACAACAGCTGGACAGGCTCAGCAGTGAACAGGAGGTACAAACAAACATACAACGGTAACTTTATATCTGATAGAAATGTCATTGTTCAAGCATTTCCACACTATAAGTGATAAGCACATAAAAGTTGACATTGTGAATGTTATACCATACTCTTAGTTAAGGAGTTGCAAATCCTCCAGTTGTACAAATATGTGTTTGGATCAAAGTGAGCTTAAATTCAGTAGTTTCTGCAACAATATCACCTTTGCATTGCAAATCAAGGCCAGTAAGCTAGCGAAAAGCAGTTCAGCACCAAGGACAGAGTAGCAAAGTGATATCTCCCCATTACTACCTCAGTGCTGTAAACGGGAGGAGGATAAGGTTTTTGAGTCAGTCAGATAGGCTGATTATATTTGAGAGAAAGAGAAAATGACTGCCATGCAATCTGTGTCTTGATCTGAATCTCAGACAAATGTGGCACATACAGGTTCACCTGAGGAGTAGTGAGCTGGGCAGCACAGTGGAGCAGGTGGAGAGGCTCATCAAGAGACACGAGGCCTTCCAGAAACTACTGGCAGCCCAGGAGGACAAGGTGTGTGGTTGGTCATTTATCTGCCTAATAAGATGCACTGCTTTGTGATTGGCCAAAAGGGGAAAAATGTACATTTTTGTTGTTTATCTCCATTGCTTTTTTCTGTAAGCTTTTATATGCAAGTCATTCCATCCCATGTGATTGTATAAAACTCCAAGCGACAGGTGTTTCTCTGCATGAAACTAATCACACTGTGGTAAATTCAAAAGTAACACAAAGCTGAACTGTAGTAGGACAATTTCTCACTCTGTACTAACCCATGCATGCCATGATGTCTGCACATGTCAGGTTGTTGCCTTGCATGAGCTTGCTGCCAGACTTCTCGCTGAGGAACACTTTGACTCAACCAACATCAAAGACACCCTGGTTCGAGTCATGGAAAGGTAATGTTACATATTCAATATATCAACATAAATTTTATGGGTTTTTTTTACCCTATTTTTCTGACTTTGGCCATAAATGATGTAAATTTTTGTGAAAGAAATGGGGATGGGAATGTACAATTACAATTGATATACCATAACACATTTCAAGGTCAGTATAGGTCATCTTAAGTTTGTAGAAATGCAAAATGGACCAAGGCACTTGTGCTAATGGGACCATCTTTCTTCTTTCGTACCTCTATTTGAATTATCATACTTATTTTATACAGATACAGATGTTGCTTGTTTTGGCAATATATAGCTTTGAAACATTATGAGGCTCTGTGTTATGTTCTACAGGAGAGCCAATGTGAAGGAGGCAGCAGCAGAGAGAAGACGGAAGCTGGGAGACTCCATGCTGTATGTGCTGTTTAACAGGGATGTCATCGAGGTAAATTCTCAATGATTTTCCAGCTTGTTTTAGTATCATAGCCCTTGCAAGTGTAAGTTCAATAGACATATATCCTTACATTACTTAGGCCCCTCTGCATATACAGCAGTCATTATAACTTATGAAAGCTTAGAAAAAAGTAACATTATTTCTTTCCATAAAGGTTGAGGGCTGGATATCAGAGAAGCTCCAGATTGCATCAGACGAGTCTTATCGTGACTCCACCAGTCTGCAGGATAAAATGGCCAAGCTGAAGAAACACCAGGCCTTTGAGGCCGAGATCACTGCCAACAGGGAGAGGATCAACAGGATCAAAAAGGTAGAGGGCTCCTTGGCGTGCATACAGTTCACTTTGCACCATAATATGCCAAAGTCATTTCATGACATTCTAAGATTACAGTACAATCTTATTCCAGTGTCCTAGGCTCTAATTTTAAAGCTTGTCAACTTTTCCCCCTCCCCCACTACTCTTCTTCTTCCTCAACTCTTACCCCCTCCACCACTCTTCCCCTTCCTCAACTCTTCCCGCACTCTTCCCCTACTCTTCCCCTACCACAACTCTTCCCTCTACCCCACTCTTCCCTTTCCTTAACTCTTCCCCATCCTCAACAAGTAAAGGATGCATTTTAACTTGAATATAGCAGATGTAAACAAAGTCTTCATTATGCTGAAAGAGATGTGTTTCTCATGACAACCCACAGCAAGGAGACCAGCTGGTATCCAAGAACCACCATGCTTCTGTTGAGATCAAGCGCAGGGTGGCTGCAGTCCTGCGGGCGTGGCAGGAACTTCTGCAGGCGTCCGCAGCCCGAGGGAAGGGCCTGGAGGAGGCACGCGACATCCTGGAGTTCACGCAGCAGGCTGACCAGGTCATCCAGTGGGTCAAGGAAAAGGTTAGTTTGGATGTTATGTTTAGTAGTTTAGCAAGAAAAACAGGTGGTAACATAGAGACAGTTATCACTGTGACAGACATTGCTCCAGCAAACATCACAGCATGACTCATTGTCCTCAAAGGTCTAGTGACTGGGGATGACATGGAAACCTCGACAACACATGGATAGTATATTAAACTTTTGTCAATCAAAGCATGTTATTATATCCAAAAAAGGGTTATTGATAATAGCAACATGTAATAAAGCCTGTAATTTATTGTTGTTGTTTTTTTAAATTTTTAACAGGAATTGTTAGTCTCAGCTGGAGAACTTGGGAGGGATTATGAACACTGCCTGGAGCTGCAAAAGAAACTGGATGACTTTGGCTCAGTAAGTACCACCATCATCAGTAAGTAACCACTGACTTTATATAATTATGATACAGAATACTCAGGAAATATCTCTAGGACTTTCTGACAAAAATGGTAATACTACATCCAAACCAATAAAAAAAACATTTCTACCTCTAATTTGTCGCTGAAGGCACTAGGAGAATATCATTATGCTACATGAAGCCTATGACCAATCAGGTTTAAATCACTGACCCCCTGATCATTAACCCAACCACCTAAGCCACAGCTGCTGCTGTACATTGTGATGTGTACTGTCGGTGATTCTTCTCTCATGTTAAACCTGGCAGGATCTGACTGTAGATGATGCAAGGATCAAGAGTGTAAACAAGCTGGCTGATCGGCTGGTACTACAGGCTAAACTAGACACCAAGGATGTGCTAGACAAGAGAAAAACCATGAATGAGAGGTATGTGGACAGGTGTACAATTTGCTTTATTGTACATCAACTATTGTGATGATGTAAGCATGCTGCCTCGATTGGAATCTTTCTGTTCCTTGCCTCTGCAATGTTTGTCACACAGTCATCACAACACCTGAACCAAAATTCTTGGCACCATTGTATAGAACTTTAACTTGGATTTTTAATGTTTTTGACCAGAACAAGATAGGAACAGACTTGATAGACTAGTGCATTTGAATCAACCTTTACCATAGAAGTAATTGACCTTTGTATGATATTGACCACAGTTGTAAAATCTAGGTCATATAGGTTTGCTGAACCACAATCATAGTTGTTTGTCTTCAAGCTGTCACGATTCACAGAGATATGTCACAGCTGGTAGAAAAACACAGATATTTCTTAATCTGAATCATGTAACCAGCAGACAGACAGTACATAATATGTAAGTACAAGCTGCATTGGAAACACTCACTACTAAGTACATACTGGGGCATACTGTTTGTCTTAAGAAGTGTTCCTGTATAGTACATCTACTTGGATTCAAACTGTGGTCTAGAAACAGGATTACTAACCACTACACCTTTCCCAGGTGGACTAACCTACAGGAGGCCCTGAAGTCCTACAGAGTAAGGCTGGCTGGTGCCCTGGAGGTCCACGCTTTCAACAGGGACTGTGACGACACCAACGACAGGATCAAGGAAAAGGTAACAGCAAGGCACATTGTTGGTATTTCATGTAGGCTGAGATAAACAAGTGTAACAGAAAAGGAAAATGTGGTTATGGTTTTGCAAATCTGTGTGTTTTATTTTGAATTTCTAAGGTCTTCCTTCTACAAACATCTTTCCTGCCTTGTCAGAAGACAAATTGATGTCCTTTAAGTGTTATCAAATACATTTCTGTAGATCAGTCATTGAGGGTCTCAAAAGAATACTGCCATGACATATCTATCTTCTTGCTATCTCTTTGGGCGCTAGAATGCTTCCATTCTGCACCATTTACTTACCACTAAGTCCGTCTTGGGAGCATGAATATTTGATATGGAGCTGTTGTGTGAAAGGAAGAAATGGGTGGGGGAAATTGGCATTAACTTGAACACTGGCAGCTTCTTTTATTCTTAACTGAACTCCTCAAATATTTAGTATGACCTGGAACTATTTTACCAAGGCAATGGTAATTTGTTTTAGAATTTATGGTTATGAATTATGTCTGGTGTTTCAGGCTAAAGCCATGTCTAGTGAGGACTATGGAAAGGACCTGGCTTCAGTGGAGTCACTTCAGAGAAGACATGAGGACATGGAGAGAGACATGACAGCAATAGTGGCAAAACTAGAGGTACTAGGCAATTTGGAACAATGAGAAATTGTTGATACTAGACTTAGTGCAAAATCCTTTAAAGCTGTTAATTAACACGATGAAAAGTAGCTAAGTAAGCACTATTTTGAATAGAAGGTCATCTTTTAATGATGACGAGCTCTTCATTGATTTATAACAATGAAATGTTGTCATAAGAAAATGCTATTATTTCATCCTTTTGTTACTGATTACGTCCAGAAATAGCTATGCTGATGGATAGACTTTTGGTGTGAAAGGTTAGGACCTGGTAATACATCAAGTTAACTGATTTATGACTAATATAACATTATGATAGCTGGAGAGATGACAAAACACTTTTTGTTCATGATTCTTAAATATTATGGTCTTTGTGCCAATTCATTCAGTAAAATTCAACCATGATAAGGCATAAAAAAATGTGTTTCAGCATAATATCTCAGATACAAGATTCAGAAAAATTTTGACATGTAGATCACAGCAGTTTTATTTGGATGCATGTTTTTATGTTATTTCTCACACAAAAACAGAAAACAAATGGAAAATAACCAGTGCAGTTTTTTGTCAACTGGTCTGTAACAGAGAAAACATTACATGACAGATTTCTATGATTGTGATGTAGGCACTTGGGACGGAGGCTGAGACGTTGGTACACAAACAACCCAACATGGCCGAGGCCATACAGCAGAAACAGGTGGAAGTCATTGAGAACTGGGAGAAACTCAATGACCATGCTGAAGCCAGGTACACACTGTAGCCCTTCTTCTTAATTGTTACTCTTTCAAACTATAAAAAATGGAGAGATACTATGGGACTGTATAGAGAGTCTTACATGTACTTTAAATTTGTTTGTTTGAGAATTTGTTGTAGCATCCACCATCATGTCATGATAGTGACTGTTTTGTTATCTGTTACATATATGTATGATGTTGTATTCAATTTTGTATAGTAAGAAGATACATCATGCATGCACTGGGTATGTGTAAAATTTGAGAGTTAGAACTCCTTTATTTGTACACTGACCCTGCTGTATCCTGATACTTTAGGAAGGAGAAATTGGCTGCCTCCTACCAGCTGCAAAAGTTCCTCAAGGAGTTCAAAGACCTGGTGAGAATGTCTTTCACAGCATGTTGAAATTATTGCCTCAGCAAGTGATGAGTACAGAGCTTTTTAGTGTTAAGAGTGCATGGGCCAACTTTAACCAACTTTGTCTCACCTGTCCAGAACACTTGGATGAGTGACATGGTAGGGAGGATGACCTCAGGTGAACTGGCCAAGGATGTAGCCGGAGCAGAGAACATGCTGGAGCTCCACAACGAGAGAAAGGTACATTTTGTAGCTAGACATTCTACCAAAGCTACACCAGCCAAACTGACATTTCAACATGAATGAATGAGAGCCTTAAAACTATGTGTCAAGAAGCTTTGCTCAGGTAATGACTCCTACATGACACTGTATTTGGAATACTGTTGAGATTTTATTTTTCCCCTTCTCCAATGTTGTTGATAAGAACCGAGCACTCTTCTTTTCATTACAGGTGGAGATTGAAGGAAGAGAGGAGTCATTCAAGGCCCTGAGTACATTTGGAAAGGTACATAATGTGCATTCTGTACATTGTTTAACATGCAAAAGACTACACCCTGGTGACCGACGTGCTTGCTTTACCTGCTTTCATATTTACTGATGAACAGTTCCTTCATCAAATATTCAAAGAATGAAACTTTGTTTTTACCTTCTCCAGACGCTGATCTCTGAAGGTCACTATGCTTCAAATGACATCCAGCTGCACCTGGAGAACTTGGCAGATGCACAGGCGCACCTGTTTGACACCTGGGAGGAGCGCAACATCCTCCTGGCACAATGCTACGACCTCCAGGTGGGATTTCTGCATTATCACTTCTCAATTTCAAATCTCAATTTTCTTAACAGAGAGAGATTTTACCCACAATTTGTATATCTTGTGTCTTGGATCACAGATTCATGTAATTGAGATACCAACATATACATCCATTTTCCATAAATTCTACCTAGTTTATGCATATTGTAAGGTGCCTCTGAATTTTCCTAAAATGAAATTAGACCCCGTTGGAACACTTTTTACTATGATAACCTTGTCACCTCTCTCCATATTAATTGGTTAGATTGTCTGTACAATATAAGTGGAAGTAAGTGGAAAATGAAGAGAAGTATGTCAGAATTGGAAATCCTTTTTCATTATCAGTTTAAATCACTCAGCGTATGTGTGGGATGGCTATTCTACTTCTGCCGGCCTTCATAAAATATTCAGGCCTGTATTGATTATTTACAGTGCTGTAGGGAGATATTTTAATTGGCATGTTTAAGTCCTGTTGTTACATGTATATTGTCCATTTGATTATTTATGACTCACTGTATGTACAGAGATATGACTAGTACTGTAGAGCCATCATGCTATTTAAACAGACCTGCTCCATTGTGCAGCCACATGGGTTAGGCCATGTGTAATGTTGGATTTGCAGATTATTGTTGCTTGATTCCCTAAGAAATTACAGCAGATGGGTAATAATAAGCAAAAGGTTTGTCACATATCTAATAGTTGTTGTCAGCCTTTCATTAAACTGCCTTACACATCAAATTTTTTACCTGGCCAGCCTTGTATCAACCTCGGTTTTGTTCAGAGGATGTCATCCTTAAAATTGTGTTTGTATGTATTGAGTTTAATGTGCTCGCAGTCTGCTTCAGACATGTCATAGGATGTTCAGTACAAATTCTGTCTTGTAATCAAGTCTGACTGAAATATAGCTTGTCAGCAGCTTTTGTAGTAGTGCTGAGGACTCGTACTGCAGCTAGGCAACTCTCTGTGTTCACCTGACACCTAATTCATCGTATAGAAGGAAATCATCAAATATTCATTTCTGTTGAAAATGTAAAGGAATGCAGTGTCTGTAGTAGAAATCTTCCAATGAATGCATTTCATAAGCTGTATGCATTTCGATGAAAATAATATTATTTTCAGAAGACTCTAGGAGAGTTGCATATGTGTTTACTAAGCTTTGCTTACAGTTACAGTTACAAGGTTTACAGGATTTCTGTGTTATGCATATCTGATGAGATGTCAGGTCATAATTGATCTCCAAAAGTTTTGTTCCTGAAGACGTTATCATTAATTATTCAATGCTAATGAAATTCCTCCGCTCGTAAGAAAGGGTCTGGCCTGTTTTCGGGGCCATTCTGTGAATAAGAACGGCTTTACAGCACTGGAAGGGGGCAGGATCATCATGATCAGACCTGCAGAGTGAGATGCCTGACAGGAATTCCATTCAGGAGTAGCACAGTTAAGCCTCCTGAAACTGCCTTTTACTTTGTAAGTGTTTTCATGATTATAGGGCCCACCAGATTTCAGCCAAGCCTGTTAGATTATTGATGTCCCGGCTAAGTTCTAACGATGTTTACTGTTTCAGATGTTTCACGAGTATGCAGAACAGGGTGACACGTGGCTTGGAGGGAAGGAGGCTTTCCTCCACAACGAAGACATCGGGGTTCGTACTTGATCATAAAAAGTCCTGACACTTTATTGATCTGTCTTTAACATAATTGAGATGCAGTCACCTTTTGTTTGGCAAGTCGTCTCTTTGGAGCAAGATCAATTAATTGAAGCAGTATCTATGAATGTTGTGTACCAGAAGGTCTAGTCTCTGTCTTTAATGGACGTTGATTTGACCATCTAGGACTCTCTGGAAAGTGTGGAGTCGCTGAACAGAAAACACGAGGGCTTTGAGAAGACCCTGGAGACGCAGATTGAGAAGCTGGAAGTGCTGCAGCAGTTTGCAGGCCAGCTGACAGAGGCGGGGCACTATCAGTCAGACAAGGTGCAGCAGAGGTGTAAACAGGTCATGGAGAGGTGGGTCTGCAACTTAACCACCTGAATCAAGACTTATATCTAACATTGATGTACTTTTTCATGCAGCCTCCGCTTTTATTATGTTATTATGCTGCTAATCCAATTCATAGATTTAAAAAGTGATCTAGATCTTACCAGATATCATAATCCTTAGTACCACAGCAGAGATTGTAAAGATACAATGAAATGGTGAATCCTCAAGGGAACATGTTACTTTTCAAAATCTATTTATTGGTTTAGCTGCAGAATAACATATAGCCAACGGCCAAGGCTGCATAACACGCAGTTAGTGAGTGAGATCATAGAGTTTTAATTCAATTTTCATTCCTCCCCCCAGGAAGGAGCAGTTGAAACAAAGAGCCAGTGGGAGGAAGAAGCGACTGGAGGAGTCCAAAGCTCTGCACCAGTTTCTCAGAAACACTTACGAGGTACAGCTGCTCATGCATGTGTTGTTGTTAGGCAGAAAATCAGTGAGCAAGAAAACTCTTTCATTATTCATGGAAGACATGTTTAGATCTATATAGATGTCTGAAAAGGGTTTTATCTCCTTTTGCTGTCTGCACAGTCTACAGTCAAAATGTGTTTATCACTATTTTTGCTTCATTATTGTCCAGACATTTGGTGATGTCAGAAGTGAATTGATCATTTATGATGGACAAATCTCAAACCTAATAGCCTTTAATAAAAGATCTTGATCAGTGATTTTTTCTGCAAATCTTTCTTTTGAGTAGATTTATGTCAGCCAACTTAGCAAGACTATCAGCATTTGATTTCCATAGTGTTTTGTACCTGGTGTGATTATATACATGTATGCTGTCATCCTACTGAATGTGTGTTTATGTTATATGTCACCTTCAGTAGTTCTAAGATAAGTTTACCTTCATATGAATGTCAGCATGCACAACAAGGTCATCACTCATGCACTAGGGTGACCTTTGGATCATGGGATCAATACAAATGGGATTTTCTATTACTGAGTAGCACTGGGCTCATGGAGGAATCAGCTGAGTTGCATTTTCAAGAATGTACAGTCACTAGTGGCATATTTTATGCATTGGACTACAAGATTAAACTTAGATACGATAATGACAGAAAGTTGGAATGGATTGGTTCAATGCTTCTGTGACTGTGAAGAATGTCTGTGTTGACTGTAGGTTCTTGGTTGGATCAATGAGAAGATGCAGACTGCACTAGATGAGTGTTACAGAGACCCCACCAACCTGCAGAGCAAACTTCAGAAACACCAGGCCTTCGAGGCTGAACTGTCGGCCAACAAGGGCAGAGTGGATGGAGTCAAGAGGGTATACTATTGAATTGGTCCTCTGCAAAGAAGAAGAAAGACATTTTGTCATGCATTGCTTTGTACTGTATTGTTCTTTGGGGCACTATAGCATTGCATGAATTATTTAAAAGTTGATTTGAGGTAAACTTGTCATAAAATATTTATACCAGAAATACCTTATTGCATTTTTCTGAAAGTATTAAATCCATTCCAATATTGTTACTTGTTTCTATTGTCCTTGTTAACTTCATCTTAAGGCTTTATTGACATTGTATTGCTTTATCATTTATTGCAATCATCATGTACCTTTCCATAACATGTTTTTTCTTCAGATCAGAAGTGTGTGTTTACTTAGATGTTTTAGTGTGTACTTGTGTTGTGGTCTTGCCCTGTGTCTGTCCATCTTGCTTGTAACACCATACATTTTCAAACCATAAGTAATGAACAGTAGCCTTTTGACTATGATATATGACAGCATTGAGAAATTGTGTGACTTATGTACAACACAACTCTTTACCTCAGGAGGGGGAAGACTTGATCGAGGCTGACCACTTTGCAGCAGCAGAGATCCAGGCAAAGGTTGTAGAGGTGGAGACCAACTGGGAGAAGCTGACAGATGCTACACAGGTCCGCAGGGACAGGCTACAGGACGCACATCAGGTACAGCCTCAGGGAAATCTCTTATTTTAAGTCCCTGCCACATCTTTGTTTTACATGATTTGCTATGTTACTAGAATCTTGGGCAATTGTAGATATGCATATTAAGGTGTGTATTACACTCATCAATACCAAAGAGCACTTTTGCAGGTTAGAGTGGTCTAATGCAAAAGCTGTATAATGCAGTAACAGAATTAGAAAAGTAAAATATGGGATGGTCGCTAACAGTCACATTCATGTGAAGTTAACACCCCTGGGAATGGAACACCCAGCCCTGCACACTCCCTCTATCACTGCTCACCTGCTCACCCGGACGCCTGTAGACCTTCTGGTCTGTCAGTTGTCAGCCTCAGGGTCAGGTTCCTACATGCTGCCCTGTCTTGAGTCAGATTCTTCACTTCCACAAAGTCCCTCTGCTCTCTCTGTGTGATCTCTCTGATCTGATCTTCCCACCTCTTTCTTGGCCTGCCAGGTGGTCTTCTCTTCTTTGGTTTCCAGTTGTATATCCTGTTTGTATGCCCAAACCATCTCAGCTGGTTTCTTTCTATGATGTTCAGAATGGACTCCACTGAGAAAGAGCTCCTTATTATATCATTTCTCACTTTGTCCCTTAAGGTGACTCCGTAGATTAGGCGCAGTACTCTCATTTCCGTAGCTTGAATTTTGCTTTTGAGTCTCTGAGAGAGAGTCCAGGTTTCACTACCGTATAATAAAACTGGTCGTAATATGGTAGTGTAGATACAGATCTTAACATCTTTAGGGATAAGTAACAGAATTAGAAACTATTTAGAATTGGAATTAGTAGATGCAGATCTTAACGTCTTTAGGGATAAGTAACAGAATTAGAAAAGTTCAATATGGGATGGTAGCTAACAGTCACATTCATGTGAAGTTAACACCCCTGGGAATGGAACACCCAGCCCTGCACACTCCCTCTATCACTGCATGCTATTTAACCCTCTGTCATGTGTGTTTGCAGGCTCAGCAGTTTTTCCACCAGGTGGATGACCTGGAGTCATGGCTGGGGGAGGTGGAGGTGCAGCTGGGGTCACAGGACCTGGGCAAGGACCTCATCTCTGTCAATAACCTCATCAAGAAACATCAGGTCAGTTACAGCATTATCGCCATCATCTGGAAGGAAGTTATGTGTATCACCTGGTGTAATGTTTGTTTCTTGTTTGCTTCTTTGGTTTATGAACAGGATTTAATCCATTTAGTGAGGTTTTATAGTGAGGATTTGTTCTGTGATTGAAGGAAATGACCAGACCTTGAGACAGCTAGGAATAGTCGGGTCATTAACCCTAAATTACCTGACTTCAGTGATTAATTTAACCATGCTACTACCTTTGTTGACAGCAACTTGAGGCTGAGATTGGGACCCAGCAGACCAAGGTGGAGGAGATCCTGGCCTCAGCATCAGCCTACAGGGACAAACAACACTTCCTGGCAGATAACATACAGGAGAGGGCCACAGGTATCACAGACAGGTCAGTGTTACAGCATACAGGAGAGAGACTCGGCTGTTACAGACATGTTAGTCGAGCAAATGTCAAGAGGAGGCACCTCTGATTTTTCAGCACCAAGGAAAGGGCCAAAATGGTTGTTCTAGGGATTTCAAGCCCTCTTTTTTTTCATTCCAGAAGAGGCATTTTGTTTCAAAAAACAGTGAATACAATATTAAATCTTTAATTTCGCAGCTGTCTTAATTGTTTTCCTTTTTGTTTTTTAAAGGCCATGCAGAAAAGTTAGAAAGTAACTATGATAAAATTTATTTGATGTCATGCTTGTTACTTTTTTGACATTATCATAATGATTGTAAAAGCAGCACTTACATGAACAAAACAGCCATTTTGTATTCAAGTACTTTTTCTTGTTGCTATGGAAACCAGATTCAACGGCCTATCAGAGCCAATGCAGCAACGGCGGGATAACCTGGAGGACACGCTGGTACTGCAGCAGTTTTACCGGGACGTGGAGGACGAGCTGGCCTGGGTCAGGGAGAAGGAGCCGCTGGCCACCTCCACAGACCTCGGGCAGAACCTCACCTCTGTGCAGAGTCTGCAGAAAAAACATCAGGTAGTTATGCTGGCATGGGCTGGATATCAGATGGGTATTCATGAATACCTTTAAGGATACCCCTTCTGTATTGTTTCATTTCACAGCAGTAAGGCATTGACAAAATGTTTATTAGACTGAGAAAATGCCAGACCACAGAGGTGATTTGCTGGATTAACAATCCATGTCTCCCCTCCCAGGCACTGGAAGCTGAGATCAGTAGTCATGAGCCACTGATCGATGCAGTGCTGAACACAGGACAGCACCTGATTGGTGGAGAGCACTATGCTGCAGCAGACATCCGGTCACGTCTGGAGGAGCTGATGCGCAGCATGCAGCAGCTCAGGCAGCAGACAGTACACAGGGCAGATCAACTGGCAGAGGCTTATGAGCTACAGAAGGTGCTTCTTTTGAAATAGTACTTTTTAAAAGATGGCCATTTTGAATTTTAAGTAACCAACAAAGGGAAACCATTCTTGAAAGTCATTTATCAATGTCAATATGATAGATTTTGTGTTGCATATTACGATAGTTACCACATGAAACATGGAACTGATATTAATATTTCCTGCCCTGTGTACCAACAGTTCTATGCTGAAGTGAGTGAGGCTGAGTCATGGATGAATGACAGAAGACCTCTCCTCACCAGCACAGAATATGGCAAGGATGAGTACTCTGCACAGGTAGGCATGGAATAACACACTTCTCTGAGATGTTTGTTATGCAGCAAACAAATGGTTTAATTTTAGCATGTCTTGTAACAAAGCTAATTTTAAGCCATTTTCCCTCAAAGGCTCTGCTGAAGAAGCTGGACACCCTTGAGCGCGACCTGGAAGGGTTCAGGTCCACCGTGGATAGTTTGGCTGTCTTAGCCAAAAGTCTGGTGGACAAGAAACACTACGCTGCAACCAAGATCAAACAGAAACAGGTACTGACTGGGGTGTACATTTATTTGTTATTATAGTTTCACAGATGGGATGATTTTCCTCCGTGTTCCTCTGTGTTGATCTGAAAATGTTTCTTACTGACTTGCGTAACAGTGTATCCTTATTCTTAACTCAATCTTTCCCCTTGTTCATGGTAGGCCCAGGCACAGAAGCACTTTGCTGCACTTCAGGAGTCAGCAGTTAGGAGGCGTGCCCGACTGGTGGAATGTCACAAACTGTACCAGTTCTACAGGGAGGCTGATGAGGTCTGTGCCTGGATTAGGGAGAAGGGCACAGTTGCTGCCTCAGAGGACTATGGGAAGGACTTGGAACATGTGCAGGTGAAGCTCAAGTTTGAATGTTCTTTTCCTAACTTTTGTTTTTGTTTTACATGATCTGATTTCTTATAGCACTCTGGCACCAGTGTACCAATAAACCTTCAAATCAAAAAGGTATTTTTTCAAACTTGCACCAATTTTGTTTTGATCTTGCAGATCCTCCAGAAGAAGTTTGCAGACTTTGTACAGCAGGTGTCCAACAGTGAGAAGCGGGTGACCTCTGTCAGTGACCTTGGGAAAGCGCTGTGTGACGAGCAGCACACCGACGCAGCTGCCATCATTGCGCGATGCAGCGAGGTCAACCAGCAGTGGTCAGAGCTGAAGGAGATGACCCAGTCTAGACAGGAGGTCAGTGCTCTTCTGGTATCACCCTGTGGTTATCACACCAGCTATTCTGTCGCAATTGATATTACATCTAGCAACTAGGCTTGTTGTTCCCAAGCCCTGATTCGTGAATCATTGCTGTAACGTTATTCCTGTTCCATGTAGGCCTTAGATGGAGCCCGCCAGGTGCACACGTTTGACCGTGACTGTGAGGAGACCAAGAGTTGGATCCATGAGAAGGAGATGCAGCTGTCATCAGAGGACTATGGACACGACCTGGCCAGCGTGCAGGCTGCTGTCAGGAGGCATGAGGGAGTTGAGGTACCAGTCTTACTTGCATTGGTTTCTGCATGGTCTTTAGTATGCCTGCACTTTCATGTTTACTTGTTTTGTCAATAATACACCAAATTTTCTCACCACTTCAGCAATCACATTCTGGGATTAGGATTCATATAATTGAGGCCTAAAGCCTCAGACAAAAGACGAACAAACAATTAAAAGGGATACTCAGTGTTCCACTGACCACTCATTACCGTGGAACACTGAGTATCCCTTTTAATTGTTTGTTCGTCTTTTGTTAGCCTGTGAAATGTACTGTACAGTTGTACTTCTGCCTCACCTCTCCGTTTGCCACCCTTCCAGCGTGACCTGGCTGCTCTCGGTGTCCAAGTAGACAGCATCAACCGGGAGGCGTCTCGGCTGAACACCATCCTGCCGGACGCCAGGCACCACATCGACAGCAGGCGTGAGGACGTCGCCAACGTCTGGAATGCACTCCTGAACAGTGCCCTGGAGAGGAAGGATCGGCTGCAGCAGGCTGAGAAGCTACAGCTGTACTTCAACGACTTCAGGGAGCTCATGTTAGTATAGAAACTTGTATTTTCCTTTGAACTTCTGGTCTTAAAGTCTTGAAAAGTCCTTGAAAGTTCAGCATGAAAGGGATCTGTTGTAATCGCTCTGTTGTAGAATACCTGAATCTCATATCATTCCCCAAGATATTGTCAATAGTTTCCCATTCTAAAAATCTACACCTTTTCTTTTAGGGCATGGACCAAAGAGATGAAGGCCATTATTTCCCGACCAGAGGAGGCTAAGGACGTGTCGGGGGTGGAAGCCATCATCGCTCGTCATGTGGAGCACAGAGCCGAGATTGACGGGCAGCTGGACAACTTTGAGAAGTTTGTGCAGGCTGGACAGGCACTCATTGACAAGGGCCACTTCCTGGCTGGGGAGGTGATGGTCTTACTGATACTGTACAGATTATTTCTCCATTATGGTCTTTCTAGTAGTATTGAGCCCCTCAGAAGTCAGTATGTTAATGTTGAAGTCACATCTTCCAGGTGAAATACATGTAGATAAGTAACTGAATAGAGAGATGAACTCTATATATTTAGTCTGTGGAATGGTCTTGATGCAATGATGATCGTATTGCTCTTTTTTTTTATTGCAAGGGACAAATGTCTTACAGCTTACATAGCAAAATATGTGATTGAAAACAACAATAGCAGCAAAATAATGAAAAAAATATTACATGTAATTATTTAAGGGTAGGTTATTGACCTGTTTCAAACTTGAATCATCATAGAAACACCCCAATGTTGAAGATTTTATGTTTTACTCCTGCCATGTTACAGGTGCGTGAGAAGGTGGAGCGACTGAACACTGCCCTGGAGGGTCTCCTGCAGCTGTGGGAGGAGCGCAGACAGACCTATGAGAACATGTTAGATGCACAGGTCAGGATCTTCACTTCACACAATCTCTGCATTAGGGTTCTGCACTTCTCAACCTATGAATTAGGAAGTAGAATTTTCTGCTCTTTTTGAGAAATGTGTCTGTCTATTCCAGATGTTTAAGCGGGAGGCAGAGCAGGCTGATGCCTGGCTGGACCTGAGAAAGTCTGTCATAGCTGACGCAGACTATGGTGTGAGTATTATGATTCCATTCTTGTTCAATGGTATGATATCAAAATCCAAGCTGATCTTTGATTTAGTAAGCATTAATGTCTAGTTATAGTGGAAACAACATGTTGTTAGGACAGTTTGATAACAAATTGATAATCAAGTTTCCTTGATTTAGTGACACCAATGTGATATATTTTCATCGTGTTGATGCAACTTTCTTAAGATTTTTTTCTGTTTGCTCAGGACTCAGTCAGTGCAGTGGAGGAACTGTTGAAGAAGCAAGAAGACTTTGAGAAGACACTAGCTGCCCAAGAGGAGAAATTTTCAGCCCTGAACAGGCTAACTATGGTGTGTGTGCATTCAAAAGACTAGTACTGTAACAACCTATTTTTTTTACATCTCTGACCAAATTTTGGTCTTTATTACATTGGATGTTACAATTTATGTCAATCAAGAATGTACTGATGGTTCGAATTTTTCTCTTATTTGATGGGTTGATATTCCCTATATCATGTAATTTTTTGCTGTAGACTGAACAAAGAAGTGAGCAGCACAAGGCAAACCTGGCCCAACTGCAGAAGGAGGAAGAACAAAGGAAGGAACAGCAGAGGCTGGAGGAGATGAGGAAGAGGGAGCAGGAACGGATTCTGGAAGAGCGGAGACTGGAACAGGAAAGGAGAAGAGCCAGGGAAGAACAAGAAAGGTAGGAAGAAATAAGATTAACCTACTAATGGAATGATGTATTGGAGGGAATACCAAATAGTCTTGTAGTGATAGACGTGGGCTGTGTATGCTTTCAGTCAAACCAGACTGTGCTTTCAATCAGCCTGTTTTTTGTTTTGCCTTGCAGGAAGGAGAGGGAAGCCAAGGAGAGGCTTGTGGCTGAGCAAAACGCACGTCTGGAGGCAGAGGCCAACCGGCTGGAACAGGAGAGGAATGGACAGGTGACCACAGTGTTGGAACCAAACAGAACACCTGTCCCAGCACCTGTGGTGGCACCCAGGACACCTGTCCAGGTTCCAGCACCTGTGGTGGCACCCAGAACACCTGTCCAGGTGCCAGCACCTGTGGTGGCACCCAGAACACCTGTCCAGGTGCCAGCACCTGAGGAGTTTCAGGCAAGAGGAACACCTTCCCATGTGACAATTCCTGTGGCAGCAAAGAGAACAGATGTCCAGGTGCCAATGCAGGTAGATGCAAAAAGAGGACCTTCCCAGATACCTGCCCAAGCAGTTGCTCAGGTGGGTATTGCACATCATGTCTTGAACTGTTACTTTGCATCTGAAGTGCACCTACTTGTCCAGAAGAAGCTAAGTTTTTGGTCTTTGGAAAGGTCACGGTAACATCTTTTTGTTGCTATCCAGGATCGAAGGAGAACAGCACCCCAGGTTCCACCCAAAGTCCATGTGCCTGTTGCCAGTAAGGTGACCACACCTCCAGTGTCTCCCAGAGAGGAGGAGAAGGAGGACATGCTGGGTGCAGCAGCTCCTGTAGAGGTAGAACTGCCCAGTGAAACTGTGGTAGCTTCAGCTGCACCGATGGTGGCGGCAGCACCACCATTTGGAAAGACAGCTAAGAAGGAAGACGCCCAAGTGGTAAAAGTGGTAGAGCTACCTAACGATAGTGTGAGGTCAGTAGTCTCCAAGAAAGGGGAGGCCGGCAAGAAGAGACCAGACATGCAGAGTGAGAGAGAAGGGACACTAGAAAGGAAGCAGGAGCTGCAGCCAAATGGAAAAAGGGTCGGTCGGAAATAAGAATCTTATTTAGTGAAACTGTTCATACCAAATTCTGGATTTTGGTTGATGTATGATATAACATTTGCTTTATGTAGTGTTGAATATTTATGGTTGGCAATACATTATTATCATGACCTCTACTGACATGAGTTAAAACATACTTTTACACTTTTCATTTTTAGTCAACTGTCCGTGCCTGGAAGAGTTACTATACTGTCCTCTCCGGGCCTCTGTTGTGTTTCTACAAAGATCAGAAGGACTGGACACAGGTAAGAAAACAAATTAATATTTGCAAAGGACAGACTGAGGCAGAAAAGGATATTGAAATCTGCACTATGTGGATGAATTTTCTCAAAACTTTTTATTCCCACACTCTGTGACAATTGTAACACAGTTAAAGAGAGTTGTTGTTCTGTTAACCTAATGATACCCAACAGAACTGCTAAGAATTCTACCATAGCAGACCAAAATGCACACATGATGAGATCATAAATCTGTTGTCCCATAATTGCACCCATTGGTAACCCTGGCCCCCCATTACAGAGCTCCACAGCCGGGCCCTCCATCCAACTCCAAGGTGCAACCTGTGAAGTGGCTGTTGACTACCACAAGAAGAAGCATGTCTTCCGACTCAGGTTAGTGCACCTGATTCTTACCAGCTACTCTAAAATAAACAGCAATGAATTAATATTACATTACATTTGCACTATCATTTCTGCCTGAAACTGTAAAAAAATCAGATGCGGAGCCCCTTTATTCAAACAAACATGCAATCAAGCAAGCTTTTTCCTTTTTTCAGACCATGTGATGGGTCGGAGTACTTGTTCTCTGCCAAGTCCCACTTGGACATGAGGCAGTGGATCAGCAAAGTACAGATCCAAGCAAGTAAGTCTCCTACTGCTCGTGTCTTTTTGTGCTAATTTTCTTGCTGACAATAGATGATGTATGCTCTTCATATGAACACCTGACATATCTCCATATCTCATATGCTACCTGTTGTTTCAGATTTGCCACCTCCAGCACAGCAACCAAACTCCCTAGAACCTGCATCCTTGAAGGTGCGCACACCCTCCAGCAGTTCATCAGAAAGTGCCAGGTCATCGTCCACTGCACCATCCTCCCCTCCGACATCCCCACCAGCTAAAATGGTGAAGCCCCAGGCCCCCAAACCCCCGGTAGCTCCCAAACCGACCTCTCCTGAGGCTCCCAGAACCTGGAGGAGGTACCCGACCCCCACAGAAACCCCCAGCCCGGCCTTCCCTGAGGAAACGTCATCCCCACGGCAGGAGAAGGCCTTGGTGAAACAGGAAGCTGTTTCAGACTCCCCAAAAGCTGCTGCCAGCAAGGATGCAGAACCTCAGAGAAAACCTGCCTTGAAGAAGACGCGCAGTGACAGTCCGTCCAGGATTCCGAGGAAGGCTTCTTTTTCTGGATCCTCACGATCAGCATCACCAAGGTCAGGCTCCCCTCGCCCAGGCTCACGGCCATCCACCCCGACTAGAATACCAGTGCCGGACCAGCCCAGCAGGCCGGCTCCTAAACTGCCCATAGAAAAACAATCCTCCTCACCAGCAGCCATCAGACCACCCATGACCACATTCAGAGCAGGAGAAAGAGTCAGACTGCCCTCTGACACCTCCAGCCATTCCTCTGTGGAGGGAATTCCTCCCATAAAGGCCTCCCTTATTGGGACAGAACGGACACGCTTTCCTTCTGATACATCTAGTCATTCCTCAGCAGAAGGAATCCCTCCAGCCTCCACTCCTCCAAGTGTTAGAAGACTTCATTCCAGAGGGGGAGACTCACCTACTAACCAGGCCACCGGATCTCACATCCCCATTCGGAAGACTGGTTCCCCTGAGGGGATACGTAGACCGCCCGGGAGACAGGTGGGCTCGCTTGTCGCTAACCGGGCTAAGGCATTCCAAAGTGGAGGCATGATACAGCCAGGTGGAGCTCCCACCTCTCCACGTCGAACCTTCACCCCCTCCACCCTCAGATCTGCCTCTATGGACAGTGAAACCAGTAACAACAGTAACGGTAACAGTAATGGCACTGATGCTGTGCCACACAAGGGTGTCCCTCCCCCTCCACACAGAGTCCCCCCACCTCCCCCACAAGCCCCTCCTCCCCCACCGCCTGCAGCCAACAACGTGCAGGCCAACTTCAAGGCCTGCTTGGATGACCTGGTACAGAAGGTGGAAGACCGCAGAGCAAGGGCCTCATCAAGTTCCGCAGAGAATGACATCAGTGCAAGGCTGTCCACAAGCTCAAATGCCAGGTCATCCACAAGCTCCACTGACAACGGAGCCACGACAGACAGCAGCGGGACTCTGCAGGACCCCTTCCAGGAGGTGTTGAGCCTTGCCGGAGAAGCTGACAACACTTCCATCACATCAGAGCACAGCACAACGTCGTCACTGACATACAGCTACACAGACGATGTTCCTGCTTATGACCCCTCGGGCCTGCTGCAGGGACCAACCAGAAGGAGAGACAACTCCATACCAGAGGATGACCTGCCCCCTCCTCGTGAGTAGTAGTAATGGTTAACATGTATTTTTGTACATTCAAGCAAACCTGGTGCTTAACAAGTGTCTCTACTGAGCAGCCAGTGACTGAATTGCTTTATACATGTATTTTTACAGCACAATTTCTTGTGTAAATCACATGGATATACTTGAAACATTCAAAAGCATACTATACAGAACATGACATTGTCAGTGCTAGATATGTATTACATGTGATTTCTAAAATACTTGAATTCATGGCTGAGCTGATTTGTCATGCAGGTGTCCTTTCATGGTAGGGAGCACATGTTTGAGTTTTAGTCATGGACAACATTATTTTTTTATGAGTGTGTTATTGTTGGAGGTGTTCAGCAATCAAACTAATTATGGCATAATATTATGGTATAGTTATTTAGTGGTATAACTTAATACATGTATGTGCAAACAGTGAACCATTTTTTATTCTCAGCTGGTCCTGACAAGAAAATGAAGCCTCGGCAAGGCCCCAGTAAACCTGGTGTCATTAAGGCATTTCAGCCAATCCCTGAACCCAAACGGGAAGGCCCTTCCGTTGTTAACAAAGTCAAGGGCCTATTTGAAAGTGGTGCTCTGAAGTTGCCATTTTCATCTATGGCATCTCCATCACCACCAAAACAGAAAGCGGGATTTGCCAAGAAGACAAAGGTACCGAAGCTAAACCTGCAGGAGACAGATGGACAATCTTCTGCTACTCCCGTACTCCAACATCCTCCCATAGATCCCTTTTGTCACCAAGAGATCACGTGCAACTGTTCAATGACAACCTGAACATGGCACCCACGTCCCTTCCTGGTCCCACTGAGCAGGAGTCAGTGACGTACACAGCCGTGATGGGAGACCTGATCCAGCTGGACACTCCCACAAACTCACCCAGGCCAGACGATGCCTCGTCCCCCACAATGCACCACGCAAAACTGGTGCAGATCTCTGACTCCGACAGCACCACCCACTCCGACAGCACCCCTGTGGCCTCCCCTACACGATGCACAGCCTTTGAGCCCATCAAACTTCCCCCACCAAAGCCACTTAATCGCAGCATCTTCAAAATGTTTGAAGAGGGAGGCTTTATGTCCGGTAATGGTGGATCATCTAAACCTGGTCCAGCAAAACACATCTCCTCTGTACGTGGTAAGACCAAGTTCTCCAGAGCTAAGTCATTTGAGGGTGGAGTACTCAAGGACCCTGACACAAATGTACCTTCTTTAGCAGAAAAGAGACAAGCAGTTGAGTCAGAACGTCCAACAGAGTACTTAGTGACTGTATCATGTCCGGCAGCTGTACTGCGCAGGAATCTCCGACAGGCCAAATCTGAAGGGGACTTGCTCATGTCACAAGCTTTGGATTCTGTGTCTGAGTTTCCACCCACCTCCACTGCTTCTGCCATTTCACCCACACCTACTGCAGATGCATCCTTTACAACCTCTGATACAGATGAGTCACTTTCCCAGGCAGAGAGTTACCACACTC